GAAAGAGGACAAGAATATGCTGCTACTCAATAGGAAGATGCAGAAGGGATGCTGGGGTAGCAATTTCAATGTCCAATATATTATGATATTTTAGTATACCAAGCATAATACAATCATACAAGTTAACAGAGAGGAAAAACAAATCAGCTAAAAAGGAACAAATGTCACATCAACATCAAACTTTCTCATCAGCAAAATTCTAGAAGGCCATGAAGCAATATCGTCAATGATTTCGGGAAGAATGACTTTCCATCTAAAATTTTAAATTCAACCAATGTACCAATCAAATATGAGGGCAGAATAGGAACATTTTCAAAATGTAAGGATTTGAAAGTTCCTTCTCTAAGGAAGTTCTTAAAGATAGACTCCACTGAAATAAGGGAATAAATCAAGAAAGAGTAAGATATCATATCCAGTAAAAAGTGGCTCCAAGCCAGTGGAGAAAGAAAGAATATACTAATCCTTAAATATATTCTCTATAGAGATATGGTGTTTATAGGTATTTACTACATTGTTTATGTGACTTAAAAACACACACAGAATTTGAAAATTATTATATTTTCAAGAATACAGGTTATATGCTAAATTACTCCTGATGAGAACTGACGTGACATTTTAATATTAAAAAAAACTAATGAATAAAATCTAGGTATATGAAAACCAGGTATTTTACAAACAGCTTGGGATATATCTATGTCATAACCACCTGATCTATGAAACATAAAGGCTTATTACAGTTCTATTAGTTTTCATAACTTCTATAAAAGTTAGTAAACTTTTAACTGTAAATTCTTCCAAATGTTTCCTACTTCTTTTCCATAATTAGCCAATTAAATTCTTTACAAAAAGGAACATCTTCTACTAAAAAATTAGCTCTAATATGGAGAAAAAAGTTACAAAAACATAAGACTGACTTACATGTGAAAGCCACAAAATTGAAACATGTTATAAATAAATGTTTAAAATAAAAATGAATCTAAATGCGTTCAATGCTCTATTAATATTCAAAGGATGAAAAAAAGCAGTTCCATATTTTTCTTAGAACAAGTGAAAACTTGAAGAATTATAGCTCTTCTAGACTCGTTTTTTTCCATAATTACTCAATTACTCATTAGAATTTGTGAGACCTCTATTGGAATCTTTTCACCACTGTATCACAAATGGATTTGACTATAAAAGCGTGGTTATACAATCTTTTCCATAAAAACAATATATTTCAGATATTTATGCCCTTAAAATATCTCAAAGTAAAATTAGTATTTCTACACAGGAAAAGAAGGAACTATTTAGTCCTAGACAACTTGATAACATCTCTTTCAACTATAGTTATAATTATCATGTACAAACTTCCAAAGCAGAAGTTGTCAAGATTTAACATTAGCATTAGTTTATGTCATAACTGACGGTTATATAAAGATAATGGCAAAGCATCCATTTCTCCAAATACAGCATGATCGAAAGGGAAATTTCTTCTTAATTACTACTAATCTGATCATTTTTAATTAAACTGATTAGTAATTTATTATCTTTCCCTTTGTTGGAAGGCTGTTATCATATAGCTTCTCCAAAGTTATCAGTTACCAGAGATTTTTTTAAAATCCAGTTACTCCTAGTGTGAATCCCATCATTTTGTAAAGCCAATTTATGCTAAAACTTAATAGTCTATTTCTTTATAATCTGAAAAAGAAATTTTGAAAATGCAGAATTTGCACTTAGTACTTTCTATCTCAGACTGCACATAGTCAAGATCTTAATTGCCTATACGGAGAGAAGACTATTAAAAGTGGAACTCTTATGCCTTTCCCCTTGTTTGATAATCAAAATAGTTGTGCTTAGCATGTATCTTCCCAAAGGGGGAAAAAAAACCCAAAAAACAGGTCCCTGTGATTTCCTTTGAGAAGTACCTACTTCTTATGCTATCCAGAACTAACCAGTAAATTAAATTATGGAACTATTCTAAGTATTTCTTCTTTTAGTTTCTTTTTTAAAGGATAAATAAAAATGAACATGTTCAGACATAAAAAATAAGAAATATTTTAATAAAGCAAACTTCAAAGGAATTTAAATGCTCCGTATACTTTTTGAATCAAAATCCCTACTTGATATGAAGCTTTGATCAGCATCAAATTTAAATTATAGCATTGAAGTAGCTATTTGGGACTAGAAAATTTACATGACACAGGTTCATGACTAACTTCTGAAAAGCTGAACTTCTCTGAAGAATGAGAAAATGAAATGCAATGTCCCTTGGCAGAAGAAGGGACAGAAATCTTACTTTCCTTTGTGAAAAAATTGTTAAGACTTCCAGGAAATATTGGCTTAAATTCTTTATTTCATTCAATATGTCTTATATGAATTGACTATAGCTGATTGGATAAAATTCATACTTAGGAAGACTACTGAATTGTATTCAAACAGTCTGCTATCAGTGAGAATTGTATTCAAACAGTTTGCTATCAGTGAGAATATAACTGCTTAATATAAAATAATCTCCATTAATTAACATGTACTGAGTGTAGTATCTGCTAGAAAAAGGAGCCCCACATTTTTCTAAGTTTTCTGTCTGGAGAAATTAACAATGAATATACAATGGCTGCCTAACTCTAATATACAGAGACTTAAGTATTTAATTTATACCTCTTCTACTAGATTTAAACAAGGCCCAGTTTCCCACTTTCTTTAGGTCTCTTTAAACTTCATCATATCAAAAAGGTCTTGCTTTACCATTCCTCATCATCTAGGATAATCTTGACTCTGCTTCATTCTTCTTCATAGCACTCTTCACCAGAACGAATTTATTTACTTGTTTGTTTGTTTATTTATTTTTATTGTCTCTCTTTCCAATGGAAAGTGAGCTCCAGTAGAACAGGACTTTGTCTGACCTGTTCATTTTCCTATTCTCTAGTTCCTATAACTATATACCAATGTATTCAAAAAATATTTGTTAAAAAAATGATTGAAAGGTTATCAGCTCCAAAATTCTAAGAAAAAAAACTTAGTTAAATATCATTTGACAATCCTGGGTACCAAACTATATCAAAAGTTATACACTCTTTAAAAAGTTAAATACTCTTTAATTAAAAGGTATAGTAACAATTTTTTTCTATCTAAAATGATAAAATGGATATTTTATCATTTTAGATAGAAACTAACCATTACAACTAACCATTGTAAATTATTTATTATTAAATAATTCAGTAAATATAATTTTCTAAATTACACATTAAATTCAGTAAATGTAATTGGTTACTCTGCATACCTTAACAAGTTTCAAAAGCTCATAGAGATCTTCAACTTCATCCCCTTCACATTTGGTGTACACTCGTCCTGTATCCACGCTCCTTCCTCTTATGGTACGGCGATAGAGGGGAAGAGCCATTGCTTCTGCATACAAATCAATGGCATGATGACCCACTGTCTGATACATGTAGCTATCCAGTTCATCTGACCCCACTGTAACAATTAAAGTGGGAATAATCAGTAAAACAGAGTGAAAAAGAAAGCAGATTTAAAAGTTTATCTAGGTTTTACTGCTTGGAGAGTAGTTAACACATAACTTAAAAACTATACTATCTTTCTCGGTATTCATGAAGTAAAATAAAATATTTGTCCTTAGTTGCATCCAGTTAACATCAGCTCTAGTCATTTCTACTGCTAATTACAAATACCATTATATATAAAATTTTAAAACTATATACACTAGATATTTAAAGAGAATTCTCTCCAATGAATTTTAACCATTCAATTAAAGATTTTATAACATATATGTTTTTTCAAATAATTCAAAGTTATTCACGAAGTCATCTAGAGTTGTAGCAGAAAACCTTTCTTAAATATCTATTTAGTTAATAAGTAACAAATGTTTTTAAGAAAAAAATTTAGATGCTATATTTTATTCAGTACTTCAACAAAACATATACACAAGTAAATTCAATAGTATTAAAGCACTTACACAAGTGTATAGAAACATAACTTAAGCTAGTTAGCAACACAAACACTGGTGTCACAAGATTCCACAAATATCGATATGGGTAAAAGATTCAAAACAGACGAATCACATCAGACTTTTTGGTGATGCAAATGATCTTAGAAATATATTGGAATGGCCTTTGTGATCTCATAATTTTATTTTTTAGAAAAAATAATGAATATACATAAAGATTATTTGCAAAGATATTTATCACAGCATTACTTGTAATAGATTAGAACTTATGGTATATTCTGAAATACTGTGTAACCATTAATATAACTTGAAGAGCATTTTTTAAAGTATATTCTGCAGAATAGAAATCCCATGAGATACTCAAAGGTGGATAAAAAAAGGATTCCATGGTCAAATTAGTTTATAAAAAGTTGAGGAATAAACCATGTTAAATATGTGCCTTTGCTGTAATTCTTCCGAGGCTAGTGTGTTTAAGGTACTCCAATAAGGAGGACAGTATGAACTATCTCTCAAATTTATCTATCCACAGAACACTTACATTTCATGTGTTATTTGTATTCCAAGAAGATATCTAGGAAATGCTATCGTAGAATAACATGACATGGAAGATGTTCATAACATATTAAGTTTAAAAAAAAGGTTACAAAACAATTTGTTTGAGATATATGCAAATGTGTGTATATGTATGCACATACGCCAAGCAGGTCCAGGCTTTCCTCTGAATGTCAAAGTATCCGTCAAAAGGCATAAAAAATGATATTGTAAGGAAAGGTCCCTTAAATAATCAAAACCATCAACCATATGCCATTGCATTTTGGCACTCTAGTTTTCTGGACCTACACACCAGATTGGCTTCCATGTACTGACATTATTTTTAAAGATCCGTCTACTTCTGGTCCCAGTAGGAAGTAGAGATACAGTTAAAGTTATCTAAAAATTTTTCAGCCTACCTTCCTTTCAAACTTAAACTGAACCTTTAAATACATTAATTTTAAAAAATACTGATACAATCAAATTACTATATCTAAAGAACTTTGAGCTTCTTAGCAAGAAACATGCTGATGTTTGCATAATAATTAAAACATTTTACTGACTTTAAATACCTAGAAGACAATTTTCCTTTAAGGCTCCATTTAGTCCTAACCACAATGTAACTTTTATAAAGGGAAGCTACATAGTAATAATGGTATGAGATCAAATAAAACCAAAAGGCTCCACTGTTGCCTGAAGCACCTCAATTAGCATGCCACAAAATTTCCTACTACAAATTTAAAGAGATGGTTTTATAAATTTTATGACAACTTCACATTATCGCCATTGATGGGGATAAATTCCTTTCCAGACTACCCATTGAAAACGCAGTGCCATGAATTCGCTGTAACCAACTTTACTCTATACTGGAGTCATCTCGACCAGTCATTTCTCATTAAGGTTTCTTTTACAACGGAAAAGAAGTTAATCAATGAATCATTCAATAATCACCAATTTCATGCTGACTTTAAATCAACATTAGCTAAACCATCTCCATTTCCCAATCCATAGCCATCTATTCTCTTTTTCTACAATTACTATCGTTTCAGCTGATTGTTTCCAGCTTTTATTTCAAAATGACCCAATTCTATTTACTATTAAAATTTTTTCTCACTAACAATACCCTAAATAAATGTCTCCATTCCATTTTGGGGTATAAAGATATACTTTATTTGTCATCATAAACACCCTACTATTAACACATGGAACATTATACTGTAATGATTCAGTACAAAGTAAATATAATAATTCACATAGAAAAACTGAAGACAAGACAGAAGCTCCATGGAGGGAAGTTTTGATTATATTATATCAAGTATGTATTATATATCACATAAACATCTGCTTTTTAAATACCAAAGCTCTCAAGATAGAAAGTTTAAAAAACCCACTTGCTTGACTGACCACAAGGGATAAAGGAATTTCTTTACTTTGGTCATAGAACATAAGCCTGCAAAAAAATTCTGCTTTTTCTTCTACAATATAGAAGTTACAGTATAGTTCCCACTCACCCTTAGTCAGAGTTTTCTGTTTATTATTTAAAGTCCAGAAATAGGAGGTTATTTTCAAAACAACTCAATTCTAAAAAGCTATTGTTATTCACCATCTGAATCCCAGTGCAAAATCCTGGAGTGTTTGTTTACCTGACCCTCTATAGAACCTGTTCTAGTTCTTCCTATAAAATAGTTCTAATCTCCATCGTCCTACTTTACTTTCAGCATTATTTGGATCTTAATCATAGAAGGAAAAAATTCAAATACTTGACTGAAATAACTGATAGCTATTCCAGGGCTAATTCTAGTTAGTTCATTATTCATCTGTCCACCAATAAACTGAGTGAATGCCTATAAAATGCAGAGCTATCTCAAGTGCTGAAGAGCAATTAAAGGAACATAGAAGATATGATCTCTTTTCTCAAGAAGCTTACAAGCAATCTATTTGGAGATTAAAAGCAAAAACAAAATAAATAGAAAACAACTGTAAAATGAGGGAGGGAGGAAGGAAGGAATGGAAGGAAAGGAGGAAGGAAAGAAGGAAAGAAAGGAGGAAGGAAGGGAGAGAGGAAGGAAGGGCAAGAAGAAGGGAGTGATTGATTGACTGATTGATTGATTTAGAGCTAGCTTCAGATTCAACTACATTTACTAACTGCCTACTTCATGCCAGGAACTATGATTCGTGTTTTTATATACACGACTCTTTTTAATTTACCCCAAAATAACAGTAGAGCAAAAGCATGGAGTCTTGAAAGATGGTGAGTAAAGGGGATCCTAAAATACTAAAAAGATTTTACTAGAAGAGCCATGTGGTAACAAATTAACTTTCACGAGTGTTCTTCTCTTCTTATTACATTTTAGCAGTTAGTATCTATAGTTATTTGTATATATGGACATATATATATAATATATATAGTTATATAAAAGAGTCTAAAAAGCAAATTGGTATATCTTTTTCTTTTTTTTTAAAGTTCTAATTGGGAAAAAATTGTAACTATGTGTGGTGATGGATATTAACTAGACTTGTGATCATTTCACAATATATACATATACCAAATCAATATGTTGTATATCTAAAACTAATGTAATGGTAATGTCAATTATATCTCAATTTTAAAAAAAAAATACTGTTGAAGGCTTAAGGTATCCCTCCCAAATTCTTATTCTGAAGTTCTAATATCCAGTATCTCAAAATGTGACCTTATTTGGATATAGGCTCACTGCAGATGTAATTAGTTAAGATGAGGTCATCAAGGTGGACCCTTAATCCAATATGACTGATGTCCTTATTTAAGGAAGAAAATTAGACACAGATATGGAAAAAATTCGAATTGGGAAAATTTCACTAAGGAGAAATCTGACAAAAAATAGCTAAAATGAGGTCTGTGGATTATTTATGGATGTTCTTGCTACCAAAGACAAATAAAAAGTAGAAATTACTTTATGCCTTTCTCAAGTCTCAAATTTAGCTTACATATAAGATGGCTAACTTGGATCTTTTAATAATAAAATTCATACATTATCATTTACCAATGATAAATATATTATCAAATATCAATATACATCTTACCTCCTAAGCTCCTAGAGGCTATATCTTATTTACCTTTATATTGCCTCCAACAATCGGAAATGTGTTGAGGTGGAATGACAGTACACTCTGAAGTACAAGGGTTCAAGTCTCAGCTCTGCAAGTTTGCTGTAGATATTTTAACTTGGACAAATTTATAAAACTCTGAGCCTCAGGATCCCTGTCTAATAAAACTCTATAGATGTTCTTATGAGGATTAAAGGATATGTCATGGAAAATACTTACCACAGAACTTAGAATCTAACAGGTGCTAAAGATATAGTAGTTCCTTTTTTTGTTTTTGCATACTGTATATAATAGAATGTAATTATGAAGTTGGAGTTTCAGTCATTTACAGAACTTCCAGTAAAGGTATACACTTACCTTGGTTTTCAGCTGGTCTCAGATTTGCTAGAGCCACAATCTGATGCCCAGCAGCAATGCACTGCATCATATTATAGCAGCTGTCTTTCCCACCACTAAAAAATAGTAAAGAAATAAATATCAGGTTACTGACCATTAGTCAACATAGAATCACTAGATATCAAAATAGAACACATTATGTATTCGCCTTTACAGAATATTTGAGGGACTACCTTACAATTAGAATGCAAATAAGCCACAGGTAATTTTCACAGTATAAGCAAACTGAGCAAACTGATCTGAATGTCTAAGGTTGTTACTCATAAGAGCTTATGAAATTATATCATTATAACAAATACTATTCTAAACAAAATATGATAACTCTTTGGTTTGTGATAGTAGCTTTACTTAATATATAAAGTGCTTTGTAGACTAAATGATTTGTTTATATTCCAGCTAGAAACTTATTATATATATTCCTTAAATGAAATTCTCCATGAAAAAGTAAAAGAAAAAAAAAAATCTATTCTGTTCCACTGTAAGAAATCTAACAACTGGCTTCCATCACCAATTAAAGGATCAAATTAAAGATCTGAGATCCAATCTAATAACAAAGTATGACATATTTGGTGGGTTCAAATTCCGTAGAGATAGAAAGCAAAATGCTGAATTACACTGATAAACATCAGTGTTATCAGTACTTCATCTATTAGTCATCACTGTATGATGGCAGGATAAGGCTTGAGCACAAATCAAATTAACAGATTGAAAAGAACTTCTAAATTCTGATAGCAAATCTAACTCAGGTAGAGGCAAATCTCTTAGTCAAGACAAGTGGTACTGCATCTATAACAAGGCTGAATGGCGACCTCCATGCTATTTTGGTTTCATACCATTTCTCACTACACTTGTTTCTTCCTTTCTTTCATTATTGCCTCTCTTCACTTTGTTTTCCACCTGGTTTCATTTCCTTCCAATCTTTGCTTAAGATCTGCAAATGTACACCCAGGCAATGTTTAGAACTATTCTTAGCCCAAGAAACGAAGAGACTTTTTATCCTAGAGGCCTTATGCAAAGCCCAAGAAACTAAGAGAGATTTTTTATCTTAGAGGCAGGCCTTTTTGCCTTATTTCTCATTTGTCTGTTTCTATTACATTCTGATCAGTAACGACTATCATTCCAGAACTTCTCAAGGGGAGAAAGAATGTGGGGAGCAAAGAGAAGTTATTCATCACAGTCTCTTTCCTCAGATTCTGATATTCTCATAAATATGATTCCACAGCTTCCCCTATTGACCCTCACTGTTCTGTTTCCACAGGACAAAGGGACAAAAAGATCTCGTTCTTTAGAATATTTAGAATATTAAAAATTAAAGGGTATACCTGCACAATTCTAATTCTGTACAGTATTAAAGATTAAGGGGTACATCCTCAATCAGAACTTAGCCTTATAACTTATTTTAAAATATACTTTCAAATATGGCTTTAAAATAGCAGTTCCTAAATTGTGTCCTATGAAACACTACTGTCCAGCAAATATGCTAAGAACAAAGGTTTTCAAGGAGAAATAAGTTTGGGAAATACTGAATGTCTTACCTCCAGGAATGTCACAAAGCACATTAGAATATGTTATGTGAGAAGTCTCAAAATCAGAATTTGTTTCCAATTCTGGATACTAAGCTAAATTACTCAATGTGCTTGTGTTTACAGCTTCATTATAAAATTAGAGAATGGCCTAGCTAATCTTCAAGGTGTCATTCAACTGTAAAATTCAATAAGTCAATCTTTTGTGTATTAGAAAAATAATCTTTATGGTCTGAAGATATGTAAGAATCTTGGTTTTACTTATTCCCTCACACACACACACACACACACACATATCCCATCTCCTATTTCAGTCTACACACACATCACCATACACACACATGGATTACAAATACAGTAGATTCACTGTATTTAACTCTATACATATTCAAGTGTATACGTACATAAATGCATGAGTACTGTGTATGCATTCATATTCATTTATATGTATTGTTATGTATTCATATTTACAGCATGACTCCTAACATTTATAAAAATCTTAGTTTAGCAAGAATTTTCCAACAGTGCCTTAGATCATACAGTTTAGCAAAAAATTTCCAACATCGCCTTTTTGTAGTAGGTTGCTTTTTTATTATAAAAGTAATGTATGCACATTACAGAATATTTATTGTAAAGGATTATAACAGTCTTCTCTTCTTCCCTCCAACATTTATGAGTCTTCAGTCGATGTATCTTTAATGGTTAAACTTTTGGCAAATTGCACATGGATCTGAATTACTCATTCCCTGGACTACTTTTTGTTATCGAGCTAGATCAAATGAAGACCACAATGGTCAAAGGTTAATCATTCACTCTACAAAAGAAATTCACTGAGTAACGATACTTTTTGACATTATAGTCGCCTAAAAAGGGCACTGAAATAAAAGAAACTGGAATATTCCAGTTGCTCCGGAAGTGAATTCGAGTGTTATATCAAGAGTCCTTCATAGGTCACTACTGTCAGCCAATAGCAATTACTTAGGGCACCCAACAATAACATGAAATCAATGGGAACATGAAATCAATGGGTTTACCAAAAAAAGTGCATGGCAGTGGTGTAGCTATTCTATAGAGATCTAAATCTCATCAAATATTCGACTAGTCTAAATTCCTTTTTTAATCTTGTTATTGTGTCCCCTTTTGCTTGAGTTTAAAGACTGAGTAAAAAAACTTTTAAAGTGGCTTGTCCTTGGCTGTCATAGGGCTTTAGACACTTAAATATGATGGATTACTATAGATTTCAAATCCCTTTTGGAATATGGAGTGTTACCATAAGATCTAAAAAGCAATTAATGAGTGTCCGAAGAAACAGCAACTGGATCTAAGATAAAACTGGTACAATTCCATGTCTGTCCTTGAGCACCAAGGTAAAACATATCCATGTCATAAGCAATCCAGACACACGTGGGAGGCAGGGGAAGGACAGGTGGACCTTTGTGGGAAGGGGTGGGGCTGTAAACAGCCTAGTGTGGAAGGCAGGACCCGGAGGGCAATCCGTAAGACTGACGGCAACTATAGGAGAGGATGAAGAAAGCCAGAAGAAAAGGGATAGGGTGGCTGAGTAGAGCCAAGCAGTGGTTCTCAAACTTCACTGCCCTTTACAGTTTTTAAGAATCCGACCCCCGGCCGCGTCAGACTACTTAAAGCAACGCTCTTGGCTGTGAGACCCAAACACCAGTAGCTTTTGAAGTTCCCCAGGTGAATCCAATGTGAATCCAAGTCTGAGGGCCAGAAGGGCGGAGGGGCGGCGACGAGCACAGAGGAGGAACGCGAACTCAAGACGACGGGACCAGCCAGGCCAGGCAATAGCCCCAAGGCTCCGCCTCTTCCTTTGGGCGGGAGCCGCCAAGGCCCGGAGACGCGGCTCCAGCACATACACCCTCTTTTCGCTGCCAGCGGCAGCCGCACCTCCCGCTGAGCAGAAAGGGACTGGAGGCTGGCAGAGGAGGAGGAAGGTGGCACCAGCGCCGCATTACCTGATCAGAGCCACGACCCTCATGCTGGGCGCAGTGCGCGTGCGTGCGGCGGGCGCGGACGGGAGCCGTGACGTCACGCCGCCGCGCCCAGCCTGACGTGCCGCCGGGCCTCGCCCGGGTGTTCGCTCCGCCGCCTGTCCTGTCCGCCCACCGACAGTGTGGTTTCTGCGGCTGCCTGTGGAACACCTGGCCGCGGAGGATACGCCACACGGGAGCCTTGTCCCTGTGGCAGGGACATCCCGGACCAGAAAAGAATGGTGTTTAGGCATGGCCTAACCACCTAAGTAAGGGCACTGAAGCTTCCAGGGAAAAGACAAGGTCCGCGTCGTTAAGCCCAAGCACCGTGGCACTGGGTTTGTGTAGGTACCAAAATGTTCAAAAGTCACTTATGCTGCGAGTTGAAACACCTGTAGACGTGCAAAGGGAGAGGAAGTTGCCCTTACTTCCTTAGCCACCCTCAAGAAACTAAGTGTATCTTTTAGGGTTTTTTTTTTTAGTTTATATCTAATCTGTCCTCCAAATCTAAATCTGGAGCTAGCCAGCCTTGAGATTTCAAGGCTCCCTGTGGTTTTAGCCCTTTGTGTAATGTGGACGCCGAGAAGCCAGTTAAGACTCATCACCAAAGAGCAGTGGCCTTGCGGAAATAAAATCTAGCTTACAAATTAAATCAAGTATTTATTCAGTGTCTTAATGTACCAGACACTGTTTTAGGCTCTTGAGATACATCCATGAATAAAACAAGGATAACTCTCATGGAGTTTATATGGGGGCTGGGGAGAGCAGACATACAGCTAAAAATATATATAGTATTTAAAAAAGTTGTAAGTGCTATGGAAAAAAATTGAGATTGAGAGGGATCAGGAAGGAGGTGGAAGAGCAAGTTGCAGAATTAAATGGAGCGTCAAGGTAGGACTTACAAAGAAGGTGAGCCAGCGTAAAGAGGAGAGTTAGCTGTGTAAAGCTGGAATGTGCTCTACACAGAAGAAAACTAGAGCCAAGGCCCTAGGTGCTGTGGATGTGGGGAAGAAACTTTCCTCCACCCGCTTCCATTTTTTTTCGGAGTCTAATATTAAATCTATGTGTGACATTAACAGGGGACAATAAATTTAATTACACACCTAAGTATGGAAACCCCACATACATGAATGGTTCAGAGACAGAAAGGAAAATAAGGTATATGCGACATTCTGAGCTAAGAATGAGAGGTAAGTCACCTTGGGGCTTCAGAAGGTCATTGCAGGATGTTAAGAACAGATGTTCAGTAATTAGTAGTTTGTCCTGCCATACAGATAAGTCAAAAAAGGTTATCTCTGATAATATTATTGGCAAGGCCCCTGATTCAATTTCTTCAAGGTAGTTAAGGGGTGGGAGGTGAGCAGGGGTTTCTCTTGAGTTTCCTTTCGCTCAAAACAATCTGCATCCCACAGAGGCACATCTACAGAAGACTCGTTCTGAACCCCTGCGGTGTATAATGTTTTTGTGGAAGAACAAGGCCAATCAATGGGGCTAGAGTACAATGTGCAAAGCCAAGAGTAGTGGGAAATGAGGTTCCAGTGATGCAGGAAGAAGATCATATAGGGTTTTAAAAGTCATAAAGGACTTTGTCTTTTACTTTGAGCGAAGTAGGTGGCCATTGCAGGTTTTGAACGGAAGTGTATGACTTAAAGGATTAAACTGTGCTTTCTTGAGAATACAACTATTAGGAAGTTATTGGCAATAATTCAGGAGAGAAATGATGGGTCCTGGAACAATAGTGGCTACTAGTGAATTTGGTGAAAAGTGGGAGGATTCCAGCTCTATCTTGAAGGTAGAGCCAATAGAATTAGATGGATTAGATAGGGGACTTGAGAAAAAGAAAGCTATGAAGGGAGGTGCCAATGTCATACGTTTTTATTAAGGATATTAGAATCAAGTATAGCCTACAGTAAGCATTCAATTTTCATTATACTATAACGTTCTCATTAACTCCAATACTCTTGGTATTGGGTGACTAGAGCAGTGACTTGACAGCTGGCATAGCAGTTTCAGCATCTAGATGATGCAGTTTTAAAAATCTGTGATTGTGGATATTTACCAAATAGTCAAGTATTTAAGGAGTTCGCAGTCTAGTTGGGGAGATAAGAACATTTAACAAATATTTATAATAGCTTAAGGAGTTCGCAGTCTAGTTGGGGAGATAAGAAAAACATTTAACAAATATTTATAATACAAGAGGGCATATTTTAAAGGTAACAAGTTATGTAATGCATATGGCAGGAGCCCCATGAGGTGACTCCACAGGGTAAATGCTAGAATAAGGACAGAACTTAGAGTGGCAGAAATAAATAGGAACAGGTGGACCCTACAAATAAAGGCCACAGACAAGTGAAGGAATTCAGAGCATGTCACTTCAATATATGCCACTTTGGCATATTGTTTTAACTCAAAGTCACTTGAGAAATAGCAGACGCAAGAAGGACACTCTGACCCTTCTTTTTTATTCCTGAAAGCAGGAGATAAAATTCCCATGTAAAAGGTACCCTCCCTGCCTCTGGAGGAAAGAAGACATTCTTATCACCAGAGACAGGGAATCAGGAAATTGAGGTGGAAAGAAATCTGTACAAACAGAACTTGTTAAAATAATTCTTATCTTCCTTTAGCCTCTCCACATAGTTTAGTTACTTTTCCACAATTTCTTCTTTTTGTTCAACCTACTATAAAAGCATTTAGGTTCTTCCATTTTGTGGGGGAGCACGGCAGGTCCTTCATTTTCTTTTGAAGGCTCCCATGTACATGTAAGAAATTTTAATAAAATCTGCATTAACAGGCGTTTTGCCTGTTAATCTGTCTTATGTAAATTGAAGTTGGATATTCTAAGAGGGTAAAACAGATTCACAATCCCTCCCTCCACCACCTATACATACACACTGAGAGAGATAGAGAGAGAGAGAGAGAGAGAGAGAGAGAGAGAGAGAGAAGAAAGAAAGAGAAAAAGAAAGAAGAAAGAAAGAAAGAAAAAGAAAGAAAGAAAGAAAGAAAGAAAGAAAGAAAGAAAGAAAGAAAGAAAAAGAAAAAAGAAAGAAAGAAAGAAAAAAAAAGAAAGAAAGAAAAAGAAAAAAAGAAGAAAGAGAAAAGAAAGAAAAAGAAAGAAGTGTGTGTTCAGCAGCAGTGGGTAAAACCAGTCTGATGAGCAGAGAGGGTATATTGATGAGAGGAAAATAAATTGGATGGCAGGATGATGCCAGATCATCCAGGGTCATAGCCAAAGTGAGGTATTTCAACATCATGTTACTCTGGCTATGTTTACTATCAATTTTTTCAGGAGATTGTATGATTTAGTGATAATTAACATGGTAAATTATTTTGATGAAATAGATCAAGAACATCCCCAAAGCCTCCTCTACATTTTCCACCAGGGGATATCTTTTCCTTTTCACTTGCCAAAAGGGGATAGGGAGAGGAACTATTAAGATTCTCTTCCTAAAACCACATCCTTAAGCTTTATTTTACGACATTCTCAATTAATAATATATTACAGTGGGTATATACTGGAGTTAAACTGCATGTTAAGAAATATGTTGAGACCATTCTCCAAGGGCAACCAGACTTTGGCTTGATGGTATTGCTCTCCTCTAGACTCATCCTAGTGCTTTTGTATTAAGCAGGTGCCTTTTTATTAAGCCTCTCTTCTCTAACTCCCTCCTTAAGAGAACGTTTCTCTTGCCATCTATTCCCTCCTTTGAAAAGCTTTCTACCTGAAATCTGTCACTTCATGAATTTTCCTGGTTGCCTAATGTGACACTATCATATGTGTTGTATCTTCTTAAACATTTTTATATTTCCTACATTAGTGCCTTCCTCTTAGAGTTACCATGCAAAGGCTCTGTGTTGAATGTACAGTCAGGGCTGAAATACGAGTGGTAGGTTCAATCCATTCCAGCTCAATAGACATATGTACAGTTCTGAAATCAGTATATATTAGATTGGTCTCAACTTAGACAAGAGTTATTCTCAGATTCATACATATTTTTGGAGGAGTTTTAAAAATAGCTGACTGAACAAAATCAGAACAATTCTTGACCCCCAAAAGAGTTCTATAAGAAACTAAAGATTAAGTTATATTCTAACTTCTCATTGAGGATCTTTCTTAAGTCATTGTAATCACTTTATGTGGTTGTAGGTGTCATTTTCTTTTGCTAAAATACAAAACAACACTCTGTGTCAGTTACAGTCCTGTGAGAAGGAAACAACAAGATAGAGTTAGATGTACAAGAAATTGACTAGAGAAAGTGCCATTAAAGAATAAAAGGGAAGGAAGGAAGAGAAGGTAGGGAGACTCAGATCAGAATACAAATCGGAACCTGGGAGGCAGACAGGGAAGGAAGAATGAGCATGAATGCTCCCAGGCTGCAGTGTACTTCTGAGAATCTCAACCAGAGCAACGGGGTATCCTGAGCTAAAGTTGTCCATTAGAACAGGAGTCTCCTACCCGCAGGCTGCAGACTGCAGACCAGAACCATTCCCTGGCCTGTTAGGAACCAGGCTGCACAGTAGGAGATGAGCGGCAGAGAGCAAGTGAAGCTTCATCTGTATTTGCAGACGCTCACCATCACTAGCATAACTGCTTCAGCTCCATCTCAGATTGTCAGGCATTAGTTTCTCATTGGAGCACTGGTCCCTGGTGTCAAAAAGTTTGAGGACCACTGCATTAGAGGAATCGAAAATGGGTCAGGAACAGCCCAGTTCTAGTACTTCCACTGTGCTCAGTCATTGTCTGAGAGCAGTTCAGGAAAAGCTTGGCCTGGTGGTACACACTCAGGGGTGAATCCCAAACTGCTTCAGCTAGAAACTATCATTCAGTTCATAATAATGCTCCTCCATGATTCCTAAGAACCTCTCTTGCTAAAGATAAATTGAGAAAGGAGATGAATGGGAAAAACTGTAGTCTCTATCATTGTAGCTGTTTTGGTCTATTTTGGTACTTCTTTTGTCCTACACTATCTACCCATATACCCCTTTCAGCTATGGCCTCCACAGATCTTGTTGACTTACCTGGTCATGCCACCCAAGCATTCATTCCTAATTGGTCTTTGTCTTTGTTCATCATA